GGGTATGTGTGTATGTGCGGAGGTGCGGAAGTGCATGCACAAGTATGATTTTTTACTTTGTATATTGATCAGATAATGTTGGAATTTAAAAAAATAAATAAACCTGCAGAAAATCTGGGTTGTTGCCTGTGTGTGATTAAAGAGGCAAAAAAAAAAAAACAAGATTCTTGAGGGTTTGTGTTGTTTGTAATAATTTAYAGCTCAAGAGATTTGTCAGCACCAGTTGTCTGCTTGTTTCACTGTCTGTGTCAACAGAATTACATTAACATCTAGCTGTAATAATTCTATAAAACTTGCAATGATGTGGAGGCTTGGCTAACAAAGGACCCATYACAGTAAAAARTACAAAACTGGCCATTGTAGAAGAYGGCCCTTCTAGCTCAAATAAAGAAATCACAAATTATCCGCTGACATATTAATCTCAGCTAATCATGTGAAAAAGGTTCTGCCTCATCTACAAACAAAAAATACTGATTTAAAAAGTATAAACTCAATGAGTCCTTTCTACTTGTCATGAAACTGTGAAGGCAGGAGTGTCCTCCTCGTGATTTTGGGGGTTTCAGCAACGCCAGGGGCCACAATAAAGCACAACTCCATCCTGTTTCAATGCTATTTTCCCTCCAGCTTCAAGGCGCGCACGCACACGCACACACACACACACACACACACACACACAGACTCAATACAAAAAACAGTCACACACATGCAATCTGAATTTCAGGCATGGGATGAGTGTGATTTTTTTTAAAAATGTCAAAAATATATTTATAGAATTGAGGTTCTTTTACAATACTGATGCAGAATGAGGATAGTAAAACCAAATAATGGGCATTTAATTTTTTTTTATCGCCCACCATTAAAAAAATCCAACCACCTCATGGAGAACTGACCTTTGGAAGCACCAAGTTTTCTATATTTCAGTTAATTTTAAAGATAATGAGTTAAAATTTGGTGTAGTAGTATCTGACAGTCACCCCTACACATACTCCAAGCACAACACATTGTACAAAATATTTGCCAAAACGTTTTGGCATCAGCACTCTTCATTCTGAGCAAAATACCTCAATGGATAAATTTGAATGAAATTCAGTATATAATAACTGGATTTTATATCTGTGAGTGACTAACATTTGAAGTCAACTCAATTCAAGATGGTCATTGAAGACAACCAAACAAATAAATTGTTTTAAAGCTGTGTCCAAATTCAAGGACGATGAAGACTCGGTCAACAGAGATCTTAAATGTGTGTCTGTGAATTTAGACAGCCAAGCTTTCAGCTTTATTMTTGCTCTCCTGTCTCCAAGCAATCATGAAGGTGCCAAACAGAAGTAAAGAAAATTAGTAAAATATTAAAAAAYGTGTCTATGCAAATAGCAAAAGCCTAACAGCAAGACCATTTTAAACTTTCAATTTTCGTACCACCAGATTTTAATTTAAAACTATGCTCCTGTCTCGCACCAGCTCTCACTTTGTCTATACAAGCAAAAAAAAAAACCTCCCTGTCAGAACCACAATGCATCTTGGACTATGGTGGGCTGTGAAGGGTTCACCGGACTCAACCCTCAAATCTGGGGAAAAGGAAGAAGAGTTTGTGGGTCGGAATTGGAGGAAACTTCAAATTTAGACAGTCTTCGGTGCATCGATGTGACATAATCAACCTTCAAATTTGGTTTTCAAAAGATGCAGCCCCTGTATTTAGACACAACTTAATTTAGTCAGTTAAAATTGACTAAAACAACCAAAAACTGCTTCTCATTAGAAGATGACCTTAGTTTAAAACCCTTAAATGTAGCAGGCAAAATGCATCCCTTCAAGGGAAGCTCAGCCTTAGAGTTTTATAGTTCTTTTCATTATTTACCTAAACATTTTCTTAAAGTTGAGTGTTTTTACTGTATGGGGATCCTGCTTAGCCCAATCTCCTTTAAGAGCTTAAACACACAGAAAAGTGCAGATTTATGAGCGGGACTCGGCCAGGAATCCAGTACACAGAGGCTGTTTTTGCTCTCCGCTTTTCTAAACCTCCAAATTAGCTCCTATCTTTCAAAACATTCTGATTTAGTTCTTTGCACAGCAACAAGTCACCCAGTTTTAATATTGTCTTTGAGTGATTCTGGTGTCTTAATAGCTCTTGGCTGTGGTTCAGTGGGTTGGAGGGGAGGAGTGAGGGGAGGGTAAGAAAGGCCTTCAGTGCAGAAAGCAATAACATGTTCTTTAAAAGAGCAGATGGAAAGTTTCTGCGCATCCTTCCCTCCCTTCCCTCTTCCCCAAGCCTATCTTAATGATATGTCTTCTCCAAATATACAACTCCTTTCATGAGAAGTTCCACCCTGCTTGCTGCTCTCTGCAGGACTCTGTGCATGTGGGTGCCAGGAGGGGCGTGACTCCTTCTTCTTCTTCTGTTTTTTTTTCTTTTCTTTTTGTGCATCTTATCATTTTTAGTATGTGTGTATTTATGCTTCCTGTGCTCATTATAACCGAGTCAACCTGTGTACATTGAATGTTTATGTGCTCATTCTGATCAAAGCACAGCTTTGCCCGGTCACACTGCATGTTTGTCCGTGTGTGTGTGTGTGTGTGTGTGTGTGTGTGTGTGTGTGTGTGTGTG